ACATTCAGATTTTCTGTGCTGGATCTGTTAAGAATAACAGACTCAATCACTCTCAGGCAAAACTAATTTATATTTTTGTTTTTCTATTAAAATTAAATGAAATATTTTGTACCACCTGTTCATTGTTTAATGTTAATTTATTTCTTCAGCAAGATAAGCTCTTCTAGATAGGCCTCGTATGGCCTAGCACACAGCATTAATTCAAGGACAAAACTGCTGACCGAATGACCATAATCTAGTTATTGGTATAAACTTGGTCCTGTAAATATGAAGCGCTGCTTGAAGGCTGCCACATACACATGGACTGAGAAATCTGAGTGTCAAAAGCTTAAATACATGAGAAACAAATGTCCTCATCAAAGGAAAAGGCCTTCCCACACAGCAAGCCCGGTGATCTGGATGAATTTCTAGTTGAGCCAAGGGTTTAAGCAAGATGTCCTTTGGTATCCCTTCTATTTTGTGAAACAGGCCCAAACTTAATTTTTTAAAAAATGCCAGGAAGTAGAAAGAGACAGTACTTGGAAAAGGTGCAGGGTACTTTTCTGTGGAGACTTTGTTTGTTTGTTTTGGAGTCAGGATCTCAATCTGTTGCCCAGGCTGGAGTATAGTGGCATGATAATGGCTCACTGCAGCCTTGACTTGCTGGGCTCAGGCGATCCTTCTTTCTCAGCCTCCAGAAAGGTTTGGAGATTTTTATCTGCACTTTCCGTCCAATCCCAAATCTTTGTTACTAGTCTCCATCCTAAGGCTCTCAGGCAGGAGGCTTCTCTGTTCATTTACTTTTAAACCTACCTTGTAGGTACTATTCCTTTATTTTCTCTCCATACTCTGTGCATGTGTCAACTTTAAGTCTTCATATCATAATTCGTTTTAATGTGTCTGTCGCCGGCCATCCCCCACCAGACTGTGAGCTCCTTTAAACAGAGTTCCTTTATTTGATGTATAAAACTCCATTAATCATAGTTGAAATCAATTCAACTTGTCAAAAACAATATATTTTTTCACCTAAATGGTGGAAGGCTTTGGTAAAAACCCAACTGTCTTTCTAAAAAACATTTCCCTTTTGGGGGAGGACCAAACTTTTCTGATGACCACTTGCATACCTAATCCTGAATTGTACCCCACATCTTTAAAATAAAAAACATTTTTTTAAAGTAAAGAAAATATTTCTCTTTTTATTGAAGAACTAAATAATGGCACTCTAGGTGTACAATAAATAGAAGTTTCCTTTAGAAAGTTAAAGAACATGTTTTGGGTTGAACATTATAAATGTCTTTTCTCATTTTTTAATTGTGAGGTATATATATATATATAGACATCATAAAACAGCACATCATAGATGCAAATACCTTAGGGGGTTTGCACACTAAGTAGTTAACTCTTAAGAGAAGCTAGTATCTTTCTTCTTATTTTTTTACTTGTGAATAGCAGAAGCTAAAAATACGAAGAAAAAGAGGTAACATGCCCCAACTGTTTAAAAGGAACGCCTTTCTGTAAAGAATTCTGTTCATAAATAACCTACAAAGATTTGTTGCTTTAAGGGGCAAAAGGTGGAAAGGACATCACAGATCGTCTTCTAATTTAGCCCTTTCATTTTATGAATGAGGAAAACGTGACAGAAATAGTTTAGTGACCAAAATCAGCTCAACTCTCTCATCTGAAAATTATCAAGCACAGAGTTATTAATTTTCCATTGTGCTTCTGTTATAAAATGTGCTTTAAGTGTTAAGAATATTTATGGCTGGCTAGGACAACTCAGCCCTATCAGTAGTTTCTTTTCCTTTCTTTCTTTCTTTTTTTTTTTTGAGTTGGAGTCTCACTCTGTCACCCAGACTGGAGTGCAGTGGCCGTTCCCAGCCACCGCAGCCTCGACCTACAGGGCTCCGGTGATCCTTCCTCCTCGGCCTTCCAAGTAGCTGGAACTACAGGCGTACGGTACCACACCCAGCTGATTTTCTGATTTATTGTAGAGATGAGGTCTCGCTGCCCAGGCGAGTCTCGAACCCGCGGGCTCAGGCAATCCGCTCACCTCAGCCTCCCAAAGGCGCGGGATTACAGGCTGAGCCACCGAGCCCGGCTAATAGTTTCCTTTTCAAAGGCCCACAGTGACTGTTTGTGAAGTGTTCGCAGCAAAGGGCAGGATTTGAGAGCTCACGGGAAGAAAGTAAACTAAGACCACAATTAAATCTATCTCTGGTTCTCACACTGGCCACAAGCAGGATACATAATTTTTTGCCACATTCATAATAAGAACTTACTGGAGGTTAATAAGTCAATGCATATGTCAAGAATATGAGTACTTTCCCAAGAGCCACAGCAGGAGACTCCTCCAGCGTGCTCAGCAAAGGAGCCACAGGTTTGAGGAGGACACGGCTCCCAGAGTGAAGAAGTCAGGTCCCCAGGATCCTCACGGAGACCAGGCGGACCGCGACGGTGCTCACAGCAAGGCTTCGACACCTCTGACTCAGACTGCGTCTCCCTGACACTCCTCTGTCGAACCCAAAGGTCAAAGCTTGGGCTCAAAGGGCCACTCACTACAGGAGTTCGGTTTCAAGACACTGAAGAAGGTTATCTTTAAACTAAAATTAGGCTGTTTTCATTCTATCAAAATCCAAGAAAAACCATTCCACAAAGAGAACGAGAATTTATTATGCTCTATACTCACATTACTTTAATAACTTTCTGAGAGCACTGACAAATCTAATTTTAAAAAGATAAATTTGGACTCTAGCTCATAAAACTAAGAAAAGTACTGTCCCTAATGGTAAGTTTTCTTAAACTGTCATTTAGATTAGCCAAGTCATTTATTTGATTAACAAGGCAAGCTTTGGGCCTTTTTTTTTTTTTTTGGAAGAAATAGCAAGTACTGATCATTCGATTCTGTACTACTTTCTGTTGAGGGCATATTTAAATGTCTCATGACAGCAATTCATTTGGCAAAGTGCTCGCAGAGATTTTGTTTGCGCCCAGGAGCTGTGCTTGTATCATGCAAAGCCTTGCATCAGAGCAGTCTCCGTATGAGGCATCACTGGGCAGCATCTCCCACAAGGTGCAGGGCAGGACTAAGAGACGGGGTGCCCAGTGAGGGCAGAGCCACCAGCCCTCCCCCTGGGGACAGCAGTAGAGCAGTGCGCTGGGGCTCCAATTTCAATTCAGTTACCGACTCCAACGTCTCTGTGTTTCACTTTGTTCTAAAACAGTACAGCTAGAAGCTATTTTCTAAGGAAGGTCCTCTCTACAACCAAGCCACAAGCCCATACAAAATGAAAAGATTCATTTAAGATCTTCTCCAACGCGGGCTGCATGTATGTACTGTGATTTCTGTGAGTTTGTAATCCTGTTCTTGCCAGCCCTCCCTTGGTTGAAAAGTCTCCTGCCACTCTAATCACGAGCCCATGAAAACATGACCAGTAAGATGAATGGCCTCGTGGATGAGTATTAGTTTAATCTTCGATGAACCTGTCAAAGGAAGTCTTATTCTCTTCTGAGCTTTCTCCACTAGAACCAGTTTCTAAGAGGACAGTTTCTGTTCTTCTGCCGTCAAACTACTGGGTTTGTCAGGTCCTTCAAAGCCAAATTCAAATGTTGCCTCCTTCAAGAAACCTTTCCTGATCTTTGCAACCAGATGGCCTGTGCCTCCTCTCCAAACTCCCAGAGCACTTTTCTCCTACAGCCTTGATATTCTATGACCATTTTTGAGTTGACATTATGCCCTTGGAGGCGGGGCCTTGTGTTTTTCTTGACCGTGGTCTTCACTGAAGGTTGCCATGACTCCATTGCCCTGAAATCAAAGTGCCTGACTTGGGGTGGGGTAGAGACTGGACAGGGTTCTTGGTAATTAGAATCAGTTCCTGGGGTAAAAAAACAGAATACTGCAAGTCAAAAAGGAAATGACAGAAATGCTTCTACACTAACACTGGTTTTGTGTTTCAGCAGGAAAGCAGGTTAGCAGCAGCATTTTGGCTGTCTTGGTTTTATGGTGATCTCCCACTCTGTCTGCCCGAGTATCCGATTAGGACTTTTGGAAACAGAACACTCTGTCACCATTAACTCTTGCTCAATGTCTGATAATTTCTAAATACAGCTTGGCTGCCTGTCTTCCGATTGGCCCTTTTCAGAGGAAATGAAGTTAGGTTAAACAAATACTATGTGAAAAGCTGGATTTGATTTCTATAGCCAAGAGTGTTTTCTTGGCATGGAGTCTTGTAAAGAACCTCCTGTTTGCTCTGGTTAATTTGATAGTGCATTGCCCATAGTTACAGAGCACAGCATCCATCTGTATATCACCCACAGCTATTTTAGATTGGTAAACATGTTTGTCCTGATGGCTACTGAATATTTAAAGAGCTAACATTTCTTCCTGAGTCTTATCTCCTTCTATGCTTGTGACTAATACTAGCATTATGTTATTAGATAGTGTGGACTTGAACTGGACAATTTTCCTTTTAGATCACCTCTCCATTAACTATCTTTAAGAAAGAAAAAACAAGTATATTTTGTCACTTGTAGGAAAATCAGAATCTTTGGAATGCTTAGACATTTCTTTTTTCTGAGTTGGGGTCTTACTCTGTGGCCCAGGCTGGAGTTCAGTGGCACGCTCACAGCCACCGCAGAGTCGACCTGCTGCGCTCCGGCGATCCTTCTGCCTCAGGCTTCTGAGTAGCCGGAACTACAAGTGCACACTACCAAACCTGGCTAATTTTGATGTATTGTAGAGATGAGGTCTCGCCAAATTGCCTGGGCTGATCTCAAACCCCGGGGTTCAGGCAATCGTCTTGTCTTGGCCTCCCAAAGTGCTGGGATGACAGGCTGCGCCACTGTGCCCGGTTTAGACATTTCAAACAGGGAATGGAGCATGCAACTCTGGGTATAAAACACAGGACTCGAACATACAGGAGCTCTTTGAACGAGAAGGAAGAGGGTCTTAGGGTAAGAAATGACAAGCAAGTGAGACTCCATCAGGCCACAGAAGTTCCCAGACAGCCCCAGGCCCACCTCACCTCTTGTTTCTGTCCTCCAGCTGTAGTGTATACACCACGTCGTCAGCAGTGTGTGTCTTGGCGTTACTGTCTCCCCATTTGAGCTTCAGGCTCTGAGGGCCAGCCGCGGCACACTCCAGCCTGGGCGGCGAGGGTGGTAATGGCCGAGTTCTTGCTTTAATGAACTGACTGAATGGCCCGGCTCCAATTTCATTGACAGCCTGAATTCTGATCCTAGAGAAAGGAAAAAAGACACAGACCACACAGGTGTAACAATCAGTTGTTTTTCATTAGAAATAAACATTGGATGGAGTATTTATTACTTGCCCCTAAAGCAATATCGTGAAATAAAGAAAAACAAGTTAAAGTAACTCAAGACAAAGAGAGCACTGGGTAGCTCAGAGGACAGACTATGCCCCAAATTCCAAAAATTAATAGTAAAGAAAGCACACGAGCAAGATATTCCTTAGTTCTTTAATTAAAAAAAAAAAGTTTGCTGTCTGAGAGGAATGCTACCCTCACAACATGCTTCCATGTCTTGCTCTAGCAACCCTTTAGTTACCTGAGTCAGTTTTAAAAGTACGTAAGCTAGAAAGCACAAATTAAACAGGAGGACACATGAGTCTCCCTCAGAGTCAGAAACAAAGGCAGCAACTCTTCAACAGGACGCCTCACCTCTCCCTTCACCAGCCTCACCCAACAGTCTCTGCAAGTAAGTCCTCAACAAGGCTAAGTGGGTAGATGAGGCAAGGAACAGCATGTCATCGAGAGATACAAAAATCTTAACTAGGAGTTTGCTATGAGCAGTACAGAGTTATGGTAAAAAAGACATATTGACACTACTCCTGTGGTCAAGGGATTTAAAATCAAACGAAGTTAAAAGGTATATGTGAAATATTATTATTTTATATGTTCAGAGGGAGTATTCTTCCTATTTTTCTTGTTCCTTTAACTCAGTACTAGTTGAATTCAGTACTAGCTGACTGGAAAAGTTCTCCAAGGTCACTGAACTACACGTGGATGGCACTGCTCCATCTCATCCTCAGCACACCTTCCTGCATGATCTTGAAGCTTGCTTCTTCCTGGCCCTTGATGGTCCACACACCCCTGCAGGACATCTCTCCTTTGCTTTTCTGACCAGAAGCCTACCCACTTCCATCTCTGCTTTTTCTTTTCTTCTGTGCAATATGAGCAATTCCTCAAATTATGTTTTCTCAACTAATGTCACACATGGCCACAGCTTCAGCACTTAAGACACTCTCAGGCCTGGATCTCCTTTAATCTCTTCGTGACTCATTCCTAACCCTTCAGTGACCTCCACCTAAACACCGTGCTGGGTACACAGGCATATCACCAAGCTACCTAAGCAGTGCTGTCACCAGCTCTCAAAGTTCCCAACATCTAAACCCGAATTGAACTTGAAACGGTGTTTCAAAACACACTACAGTAAAACACATGGTCGAAATATGGACATAAATGCTTAGGAAACAGATTATTTTAAAGCAGTCTCATAATTTAGTTTTGTGTATTTCTCGTTTATAGCAATTGTTGTTTATATATTAACAGAAAATATTATTTAAGTATCATAATACCAAAATTTATCATCTGACCTCAAATTAGCCTAAATTCTGCAAACTTAAAGACTATGTAAGTCAGCAAGTCAACCTCATAATATGCCTGTTGGCTATTAAGGGGAAAAACAGGTTAATTCCAGATGGGCTGGAGTAGGGGCACCCCACTGTCCATTTACTTTTGTTCAGTGCATTCCCCACTGAATGAAGCTATTAGACCTCAACAAAATAAATGGAGCAGCCATTGAAGAACTATAAAAAGTAAACAATAGCTGCTGGATTGGGGCAAGCACAGAATTTGAATTATTACCACCCCTCCATTGTACCCCCGCTGACTCACAGCAGCCTGAATCCAGGAATGAACATGTGCCTGGATAGGGCTCCAGGTCACATCCAGGAAACGCTTGAGGAGACAAAGCAGTCTCTGAGTGCTCAGACAGTGGGAGAAATCTCCTACTCCCCCCCACACCCTGCTTTCTTCATTCTCTCATTCCCTAGCCATTAGGCAATCCTATCATATTAGCAATCTAAAGAAGAAAAAGTTCATGATCACATTCACTTATGAAGAAAAAGTGTAAATGATAAAATCCAAATTCTATTCATGATAAAAATTCTCAGCAAACTAAGGACAGAAGAGAACGTCCTCAACCTGGAAAAGGGCATCTACAAAAATACCCACAGCTGACATCATGCTAATGGTAACAGATTAAATGCTTTCCCTTTAAGATATGGAACAAGGCAAGATTGTCAACTCTCACCACTCATATTCAACATCATTTACTAGAAATGCCAGCCAGTGCAAAAAAGAAATAAAAAGGCATAGAAATAGCAAAGAAAGAAACAAAACAGAAACTACAAAACATTGTTGAAAATATTAAAGACCTCTTGAAATATAGAGAGACATACAGTATTCATGAATTGGAAGATTCCCAGGAGGTTTCTTAGGGGATATAGACAGGCTGATTCTAAAAGTTAACTGGAAAGGTCAAAAAACAAAAACACCTAAAGTAGTTAACACAAATTTGAAAAACTAAGAATAAAGTTGAAAGACTCAAACTGCCTGATTTTAGGACTCACTGTAAAGCTACAGTAATCAAGACAGTATGGTACCAGTAAAGAGACAAACACACAGATCAACACAATAGAATAGACTCCTGAAATAGTCCTATGCAAACATGACCAGCTGATTTTTGAAAAGGGTGCAGAAGCAACTAAATGGAAAAAAAACCAGTCTTTTCAACAAATGAAGTCTATTCTATTGTGTTGATCTGTGTGTTTGTCTCTTTACTGGTACCATACTGTCTTGATTACTGTAGCTTTATAGTGAGCCCTAAAATCAGGTAGTTTGATTCTTCCTACTTTATTCTTAGTTTTTCAAATTTGTGTTAGCTACTTTAGGTTTTTTTTGGTTTTGTTTTTTGACCTTTCCAGTTATCAATAGGGAATAAAAGTGAACCTCAACTTAAACCTCACCTTATACAAAACTTAGCTCAAAATAGACCAAAGATCTAAATGTAGAATATTAAACTTTTAAGAAGAAAACGCAGAGGAAAGTCGTTGTCATCTAGAATTAGGTAAAGAGTTTTCAGATATGACATGAAAAGCATGACCTTACATAAGAGAAAAAAATTAAATTTCATAAAAATTAAAAACTTCTGCACTATTAAGAGAATAAAGACAGGCTACCAACAGGGAGAAAGTATGTGCAAATCATATTTGACAAAGGATTGTATCCAGAATGTTTAACGACCTCTCAAAACACAACAGTAGGAAAAGAACCCATTAAAAATGAGTAGAAGCCTGGAACAGATACCAGAGGGGATATACAGATGGCATACCAGCACACAAAAGGTGTTCGACCTCAGTAGCCATCGGGAAATGCAAACTAAAACCACAATGAGATACCATCACATAAAAAAAAAAATGTGCTGGCAAAGACAAGAAGCAACTGAAATGCTCCTATTTTCTTGGTGATGATACAAAATGATACAACCATACTGGAAAACAGTCTCCTTAGAAAGTTAAATACACACTTATCACATGCCTCAGCAATCCCACTCCCAGGTATTTATTTTAGAGAAATTAATACTTATCTTCATACAAAACCCTGCACATGTTGCTGGCAGCTCTAGTCATAATCACCAGAACTAGACAAGTATCTGCTTCAGTTTGGAATGCAGCAAATACTTTTTTCTGATAAGTATTTATCAGCAAAACTCTATTACAAAGGGTCTCACTTTCCCCAGATTCTATTATATTATACTATTCTATTATATTATACCTTTTTTTGTGTAGATAAAGTAATGTTAAGTTTCTCAGTATAACACTAAAAGGCTTAAACTCTTCCTTGCCTCCCACATGAATCTTATAAAAATTACTTCATGGTATTAACACAAGAGTTTCTTTCTATGACTGGATTTTTTTGCAAGCGGAGAGGGAAAATCTTTTTTAAAAGGCAATCATCCAGTGGCTCAGCCTGTAATCCCAGCGCTTTGGGAGGCTGAGGTGAGTGGATTGCCTGAGTCCATGGGTTCGAGACCAGCCTGGGCAACTTGGCGAGACTTCATCTCTACAATAAATCAAAAATTAGCTGGGTGTGGTAGCACGCGCCTGTAGTTCCAGCTACTTGGACGGCTGAGGCAAAAGGATCACAGGAGCACAGTGGGTCAAGGCTGCGGTGGCCGGGAGCGTCCACTGCACTCCAGTCTGGGTGACAGAGTGAGACTCCAACTCAAAATAAATAAAAGGCAGTCATCATGATGGTGAAAATTACTACCCTCCCTCCCTTCTCGGGAAAAGGGAATTATGCCAGACATTTCATCTTTCTTCAACAGCTAACACATATCCTACAAGATTTATATGAAGGTCCTCCCAGTATCTAAAGTACCATTCTTTCCTGTTATTCTAGGCACAGGTATATATAGAATCGAGGTCAAGATGCTTTCTTCCACCTGCTGGCTCGCCTGGTATTCCAGGTGGCCCTACCCTTCGCTCTGTGGAGCCAAATAGCCCTTAGCTACTTTAATTCACAAAAGAAAGTAAGGTAATAGGTTCCTTAAGGTTATAGTTCTGTTCTGCTCAAGGGAAAAAAAATGCTAAGAAAGTGGAATCAGCTATTAAATTAAAAAACAGTTTAGAAGCTAAAAAATAGTTTAGAATATACAGATATCAAGACATAAATATAAATTCAGATTTGCTCTTTGATTTCTTTTGCAGATTCACTTATTTCTCGAGAGGAACCACAGTACTTTGGCAATTACTGGATTCCCTACATCCTTATCCCTACAATTCTCTGAGCTTTCACTGAGAAGTACTAGCGAGACATATAATCTCAGCCTTAATACACACAGCACCATCACCACCACCAGGAAGACTATGGTGGGGGCTTGACTCTCTTTAGCATTGTAGCCTCTTTGGGAATCCTGGTCTTCACTTTCGGGACCTTGGGGAAATTAACACTTTTAAGTGTGAGTTTCCTTCTCTCTAAAGTGTGGATAAAATGCCTCTTTTCTGCATTTACAAACAGGATTATTTAATTAAGATAAGGAATATGGGAAGCACTTCTAATTTTTAATATTTTGTATCCCACAACACAACCAGAAAAGAACCCAAGGGGACCAAAAGCACTGGTCTACTTTGAAATGCGAACTTACAGAGTTATCC